TCACACAACTATCTTCTCAAAGTATGGTTCAGGCTGTAAAATAACCTGGGGAAGGAGAAAAGCCCAGAGATCAGTTACTCATTTTCCTAGTGGGCCATCTTCTGTCCTGACCTTTGGAGTAACCCAATAATGTTACTGTTGTCTTATGTTTTACTAGTTGAAAATAGAGGTTGCCACCATCAAGAAGAGGTTGTATTTTAAAGGATCCTTTTAACTGAAATCTCCTTTGTATTACTAGGATGTGCAACGTGAACTAAAATTAATTTGGAGAGTGAGAAGATGAGTGCGTTACTAGCCAGTGGATGTGGACTCTTTGGACCACAATGGCCATTTGATGACATCCCAAAGGCAGTCACAAGGTAAGAAAGGATTTCCTGAGAACTCTTGAAGCAAATCAGGGTTAACATTTCAAAACAATGCATTTGGAGAATAAAAAAAATGTAATTCTTACACCTCTGCTCTATGTTGGTGTGTGAATAAAATATAGAACAACCAATATTGCTAAAAGTAATAAATTTCAACATACATCTTTCCTGTATTAAAACACTTCCATGGCTCCTGATGCCTGAAGAAAATTTCCAAATGTCACACTTACGTATAGCAAGCCCCCCACAATTTTGCTCCTCCTGGCTTTTCTAAACGAATTTTTCACTGCTCTCCCACTCAAACCTAATTCTCTAACCATCTCAAATAAATATACAATGGCGTCTTGTGCATTTGTGTCTTTGTATATACTATTTTCCTTGCCCTAGAATTTCACTATTATGCTCTCTACTAAGCAGATTTCTATTTATCCTCTGGAAGCCCTTCTCTGAGCCTCTATCCACCATGACGAGTGGATTATTTCCTCCTCTGTGCCAACATTCTACTTGCTTCGTGCTGCCATTGTAACAATCATCAATATATCCATGATTTGTTTACATACCTGGTGATTTTGTGTTCCTTGAAGGCTGTCATTGCATCTGATATAGCAGCAGGTACCAACTCTTAGCTTTTACTATGTGCCAAGCACTATGATTTGAAATGTAATTGGAGATCCACAATTTTATACCTTTTGAATCACTCTTACTGGAAAAGATAGAGCTATAAAAAATCATGTCCATAAAGGACAGTAAGTACAGTAGGAGAACAGAGAAGGCACTGTAAGTGTGGAGCTTAGGGAAAGCTTCCAAGAGGAACAGATTTTGCAGAACAAGCAAACTGTGGAATCAACAGGAAGGTTTCCCAAAGCAGTGCAGCCTGAATCCTAGAGCTCCAAAGCCATATGGGTGCATTGCTGGGATTATCTGTATTTAAATTATTCTGTCATAGGTGGTTCTATAACCACTTTGTATTCCTTCTAGTCTCATGTTAAATTATAAAATCATGAAGCAATAATAACTTTTCTCAGCATTTTATTTTTTTAATCCTCACCCAAGGATATTTTTTCCTTTGGGGAGGACCAAGGGGAGGGAGGGAGGAAGGGAGTATTTTAATCCTCACCCAAGGATATTTTTTTCCTTTGGGGAGGAACGAGGGGAGGGAGGGAGGGAGAGAGGGAAGGAGAAACATTGATGTGAGAGACACGTGGATTGTCTACCTCCCACAATCTGCCCCTACCTGGGCCAGGGATGGAGCCTGAAACCGAGGTGCATACCCTTGACTGGGAATTGAACCCACGACCCATGGTCCATGGGCCAGCGCTCTAACTACTGAGAAAACTGGCCAGGGCTCTCAGTACTTTTAAACTCCTCACTGCTGCTATCAGATTTTAAAATAAAAGTTGACATAAGGACGAAGTTGAAATAATAACTTCTACCATTTTCGTGTAATTGTACAGCCTACAATACTCTCACGAAATATTAACTCATTTTTTCTTTATCTCAATCTTTTACAGTGGGTATTTATCCCAGTTTTTCTGAATGAAGACACAGAGAGCTTAATTGACTTGTCCAGAGTTACATGATTAATATATGGTTTTCAAACACCTAGTTGATAATAATTACTAGCATTTAAGTGATAATCACCCTGGTATAAATTTATATATGCCCTGTCATTTGACATTACAGTAACTTTAACACCTATGAATTATTATCCTTATTTTATAGATGATAAAACTGAGGCTTATAATGTTTAGCATGCTCAAGATCAAGAGTAAATAAATGGTGGATCATGTACTCTCACACAATTCTGATTCCAGAATTTAGGCTCCTAGCCACCACCAAGACTGTTCCAAGTGTTGAATAGGTTGATTTCTTCATTCAAACAATTTATAACCTATTGGGAAGGAGTGGGAAGAAGAGAGAAATGCTAAATTAATACCTATAAAATTATTAAAGAATGATAATGTCTTCTGAACTTTTCAGTTTATGTTTGGAGTTACTTAATTTCATTATATTATATCTAAGCATGTATTTCTCTTGTTTATCCTGCTTAGGTTTCATGTCATTGACTAACTCAGGACATTACTCAGTCCTGAAAGTACTGTCTTATCTCTATTCTATTTTTTTTCTAGAAGGCTTATGGCCCTTTAAATGTTATCCTTTCTATCCCTTAACCTCTTCTATTTATAGTCTTTTTCTCTTTATCTCTTTGTGTTATTTCCTCATATTATTCACAAATTTTGTCTTCACTGATATTTAACTTGATATTTAATTCACCCACTTAATTTACTCCTTTTTGCCTTGTTTGTTATAGTCTTTAAAACAACCACATTGAGGAATAATTTACATACAAAAAAATGAGTGTGTTTAAGTATATAGCTTGATCAGCTTTGACCAATGAGTCCAAGTCCCCCCGCTCCCCACCCAGCCTGACTTCAGTCTCTCCTCCATCTGTGCCAGGAACAAGCCACCACTGCTCTCTGTCCTAATAGAGTAGTTTTTATATTCGAGAACTTCTTATATGAGGAATCAAACCATGATTCCTTTATCATATATTTTAGATTCATTCATGTTGTTGCATACATCAGTAGTTTGGGATTTATTTTTTTAATGCTGAGTAGTATCCATTATGTGGATATCCCACAATTTGTATCAATTGACTTTGATGTACATTTGGGTTGTTTCCAGTTTTTTGTTATTATGCCTAAAGTTGCCATGAACATTTGTGAACACCCGTGTTTGTGGACTTATGTTTTCATTTCTCTTAAGTAAATATCTAGGGTCATGTGGCAAATGCATGTTTAGCTGCTGAAGAAACTGCCCAACTATTTTCCAAAATGGTTGCATCATTTGCATTCTCACAAGCAATGCAGAACTCTAGTTGCTCCACATTCTTGCCAACATTTGGAATTGTCTGTTTTAATAGTAAACATTATAGTGAGTGTTGTGGTAGAAAAAATAAGGAACTCCCCTCCCCCCAAGAAAGATGTTCACATCCTAATCGCTCCTACCCTCTTGCTACACACTGACAGCCTGTCTAGTTCAGTCCCAGTTTCAGTTTATCTCTTTGTTGCTCTAGTTTTCAGTTCTTTCTTTCTGACTCTGGCATTGCCTCTAGATTACTTGTTGTTATTGTTGTTGTTTTAAGCTCAGGTATGCTTTTCTTTTATTCCAAATGTTTATTCAGTACCAACTATAGGAAGGATGCTGTTCTAGGCACATAGAAGTGAACAAAACAAAATCTCCAATCTCAGGGAGCTTACATTGCAAGAATACTTGTTATCTGATCTATGCATTTTAATGGATATTGTGGTCTGGCAACTTTAGGTATTGTGGGCGTTTTAAAGTAACCTAGCCATGCATGGTAACTTGTAAAATGTTATTATCAGTTTTAAGAATGAATATTTGGGAATAAACATAAAATAGGAAGGACAGTTAGGGAAGAATTGCAGTATTCCAAGTAAGGTATAGTTGGACTAATAGGTAGAAGTGGGGATGAGGAAGAAAAGCTGGATTGCAGGAATATTTTGAAGGAAGAAATAGTAGGATTTTGTCATAGCTAACAAGAGGGCATGATGCCAGGGAAGATGTCAAAGATAGCTCCAATTATTCTTCCCTGGAAGACTGAAAGAATGACTACAACACTGTCATAAATAGTGCTGCTGGTGGGAATGGATGGGCAATTAAAAATAATATCTCTTAGTGAGTGTCTATATATTTTAATATTCCATGTAGGACATTGCAGTAACTTACTGTATTTGAAAAAGGCAGTGGAATAACTATGTAGGCATGTTCGTAAGTGACTGAAAATAAAGTACTAGAAGAGATTGACAGGATTATAGGTGAGGAAAGGGAGTGGAGGTACCTTCTTTGTATCCATAGAGCCTGGTTTGGTGTTTAGCACAAAGCTGGGCCTCAATATTTATTGAATAAATTAACGTGAGTCATTTGCATAGATGTGACAGCTGAGCTCAAAGGATTAGATATAAAAGCAGACATTTACTTGCTAAGGTTCAAGGACATTCTTTCTTCCCTTTGGTTTGCACTGCCAACAGTTGCCTGCCTAAAAGGAAACAATTCTCAAAGTACCTTGATTTAGGGACAATTACTGGAAGAGGTGGAGTTTCACGCGGTTTTTGTGGGGGGTGGGGATAGAGGGGGGGGGGCATTCTAGAATCTAGACCTAAGATACCAAAGTGGAATGTAAAGATTTGACTCTGAATCAAAGTTGCTGTTCATTTTGCACAAGTGTCAGACTATCTGCATTGGTTAGAGCTTCTCAGTGCAGTCGCTTTTCCACAATGCCCCCCCAAAATACAAACCTCACTTGACAGGTTATTAACCGAGGGCTGACTGCTCTATAGCATTCTCTAAAGAAAAGGTTAGTGGATTCCCCTTCCCTCTTTTCAAGCCGAGGACCTGAAATTCTAATTTGAATAACTGGGATGATTCTTTTTAATTCCCATCTTCAAGGGGGCGGTGACCAGGTCGCCACACCTTAACCATTGACTCCCAAATCTGCTGCAAAAATCTTCACGCTCTGCTCCGGGGTGCGTCAGATTAGTCCCAGGGTCCAGCAACTCTCACTGCGCCTGCGCCTGCGCCTAGTGGCGCTGCAGAGCGGGCGCAGGCGCCTTGAGGCGGAGCTGGGTGAGGCGGAGCTGACTGCAGCGCCTACGAGCCGGTCTGGGCGGCTCCAGTGTTTTGGGGCCTGGGAACTGTGGGAGGAGTCGGCGGCCTCACCTTGGTAACCACATCGCTGCCCCGGCTCGGTCTTGCAGGCCTCAGCGCTGTCATCGCCTTTGGGGTCCCGGGGACTTTGGCCACCGTTTCCGGAAGTAGCTCTGCAGGCCTCTTTGAGGCACCCCCATCCTCCCCACGCCGCCGCCGCCGCCGCCGCCATGCAGGGGGAGGACGCCAGATACCTCAAAAGGTGACTCCCCAAGGCGCAGCCCCGCCCTCCTGGCCGGGGACCCTGAGATATTCTTAGAGGTTTGGGGGTTGGCCTTGAGGTGTCACTGGACAAAGCGAGACCTACGCTCCGCAGAGAGGTGGACACGGGAAGAGCCCCAGGAAGGGAAGGGAAGGTGCATTGGGTGAGAGGTTCTGCAGCCGCCCACCTGCCTTGGAGGGGCCTGGAGGACCTCGCGGTAGCTCCTGGTGGCGTCCCCGATTTCAAGGGGGAGGGGCTAAGGACGAGGAACCCGGCTTCCCGTGCCCCCCTCCCCCTTTCCCATTCCAGTTCGGCATTTCCCCTGACAGGTCAATCCCGTGGGGGCCTGGAGATGAGATCTCCTGGCGCTTATGTCCCCCCACCCCCCGCCTCCAGTTTGGGGTCCCCTGCCCTCGGGTTCTGACATGATGAAGGGGAGAGAAGTGGTGGCTTTTTACTGACAGGAGGCTGGACTGAGATGTTGCTCTCCAGCCTGTGTCTGCTTTCCTCATCTGCTTCATCCATTTGACTGCCGTGTGTGTGTGCGGTGTCCTTTTTATAGGATCGTAATTATCAAGAGGTTCGTCCAGGAGCTTGACATGGAACAGGCCGTGATTATTTTAATTTCAAAATATTTGTGGTATCAGTGACTCTTTAAAGAACACTGTAACTCTGTGGGATTATTGGTTTGACTCCTGTCAAAAGATAAGATCATCCCTGATGAATAGGATACCTCTCAGTGGACCAAGAGTTACTAGTGATCCAATAGAGAAAAAAAAAACCCTTAATCAGGACGCTCCATTCTTAAAGTCCCTGTCACATGTATTCTTTTGGACACAGCTTCCTTATATAAAAACGGAAAGCAGGGCAAATATGACCTTATGAGAGGACCAAATGTGAAAATGCTTTTAAGAGATAAAACATGCATGTAAGGTGGTGGTATTATTTTAAGTTACAACATGCTCTTACTGAGTACCCTGGCTTGGCAAGGGCCCTTATCATTACAGAAAGATCTCATCTTGAAAGGGATTCAAACAGTTGTATAGTCAACCAATCAGCTAACTGTACTGTCTTTGCAGGACTGGGGCATCTATTGCCTGCCCTTCTCATTTTTGAAAAGGATATGTAGTCATAACAAGTATTTATTTCCTCATTGATTACATAGATCTTTTCAATTGAAAAGTTGGTGACAGAAGAAAACAAATTCTTTCAATTTTAATATAAGATTGTTCTTGAGCAGTGGTTCTCAACCTTCCTAATGCCGCGACCCTTTAATACAGTTCCTCATGTTGTGGTGACCCCCCCAACCATAAAATTATTTTTGTTGCTACTTCATAACTGTAATTTTGCTACTGTTATAAATCATAATGTAAGTATCTGATATGCAGGATGTATTTTCATTGTTACAAATTGAACATAATTAAAGCATA